CAGATGTTTATTTGTTTTTAGTCAATTATTGCCATTTTTGTTTGTGATTGTGCATGTGCGATTTTTCCTCGTGTTGGCTGCAAACTCGGGAATTCTACGTAACCTTAGTCGCGTCAGGATCGCCCACGCTCGCATACAAAAAAAATTCGCGTTAATAACCGACGATAGTGGACATACATTCGTAAAACTGGTCAATTCCGTTTTGTTTCCTCTCAGTTCGCTTCAATTTCTTCACGGTAACGTTTCAGTTTCATTCGGGGCCGGTTTAGCTTATTACGTGTTTACTCATGTTTCTCATTGTTTTCGGCTTGGTTTGCTTAGGAGTGTTAGTTTGGTGGTGATTGAAAGATTTTTTTCAATTGGCGACTGTTTGTGGTTCACCATTCCCAACTATTTTTGGGTGTCCTCGGAGTTTGCCGTCAATGTCGGCAGGTAATGACAATATTTGGTGATTTTCTTGCTGTTAACAGTGTTAACTGCCCAAAAGCGTCAAATAAGGCAAATTAAGTCAATATGAACGTGTCGCTCTTATATGGCGTGCCTGTAAAAACAGTTCTTTGAATTCTCGTTTTTCTGTTCCGGTTGGTCACATGCCCATATTGGGTATAAGAATTCGGGCATTTATGTGTCCCCGAAGTCGATTCGGTCTGACCCAGAGTGGAGCCAATATGACCCCAAAAATTTATGACGACCTCTATAAACCAATAATTTGGGGCTATTTTTCTGCGCGTTTAAACTGCAAGCAAGCATATTTTGAGTTTATTTTTACTCGTGTTTAGCGTTCAAATGACTTTTTTATTTTACAACGCGTTTTTGCCAAAGTCTTTTCTTAGTTGATATCTTCTTAAATATATGTAGATGTTTTAAAGTTGCGTCTATAAAGAGTAGGCATTTGTCTTTGGATTTGTTGTAAATACATCATCTTCTATATATTATGTTTTTTGCTTCAGTTTCAATCTCTCTCAAGTTTGACGTTAAATATCTGCTGACTTACTAATAACTTATTTTGGTGATGTTTTTTCACCACTTCTCATTTATTGAAATTCACTGCTTTTTCATAAGAAAATCATCACGTCCACTTTGTCTATCACATCGACGACCGGTTGTGCAAATCTATATTTTTTCTTACCCCTATTTTGTAGGTATTTGGGTTAGTTTCAGAATTTTTTTTTTGGTTAGGTTAGCATTTGTTAATTGTCTGTTCTATTTTGATAATGTCAACCAGCAATCTCCAGCAGAAGGCAAAATTTGGAAACTGGTTGCTAAATGTTAAAAGTATTGACTTTTGTCCGTGCAGCATCGGCATGATAGAAGGTGTTTCAAAAGTAAAATAAGTTAGCGTGGCCTGTTTTCTTATGGGAAAATTGCAACTTCAAAGAACGAAATGTGGTCGAAAACAGCCTTTTCCTAATGGCATTTTCATTTCAATATGCCACAAACCTATCACATTGTAATTAAACTAAATGTTTTGTTAACAGTTGAATTTGCGAAGTGAACAGAGCTTCATTGTACAATTTTAATATGGAAGTGTTGCAATAATCGAATCATTTTGTTTGGTGCACAGCCGGTAATGTCTTGTGATTTCATACGTCGTAGGATGGTTTTGAGAAATGTTGGCACAATTATTCAGGATTTGCAGAATGAATTCTTTTATAGTGTTTTCAAAAGTCACCTTTTTAAGCTCATTTCTGTATATAAAAAATCCAAAGCGCCCAAGTCAGTCCACAGCCAATTTATTGCCTCAATGTTGGTAACCAGCCAATTGTTTTTTTTACATTTTTCCAAAATTGTAGGAGGGGTGAGACGTATTGAACAATTACTCGGACGCAAGTGTTTTAAACGCTTAATCAATTATTCAGATTCCTGCAGTCAAAATATGAGGATTTAATCCAGTTTGCCTGATCGAAAATTTGTCTAGTCGCATATGAGATAGCACCCTTCTAAATGTGCATAGAAAATGTTAAAAATTATTTTTCGGAAATTCGAAACGTAAATTAGTCCACTTTAATTAGTTCAATTTGGAAAAAGAAGTGTTCTAAATTTTTTCAATCAAAATTCCAATAATTCACAATTCCTAAATATAACTTTTTCGCCGCATGAATTATTGGCTGCGTTTGAATATGCAGTTTTGCAAATCGACCTGTTCACGTTTTTTAAGCACATGCTCTTACTCTAACTGCATGTAAAAACTGAATTTTGTAATAACAGTTAATTAGAATGTCAAGAATACAGAAACAATGAAAACCCCGATCTATTGATTAGGTTGTTGTGTATTAGTCGTTTGAGAATAACAAGCTCACATATTTTTTTATATTTGACTTTCGTGCGACATAAATTAGAGTTTTGAAATGGACATTGCTGCCTCCGGATCTAAACCCATCAGATCATCACACCGACCACCTTTGGGAACTGCTTAGATAGGCAAATTCGCCATAACGCTGTGATTTGAATTATCCAAATATTAGATGCTTCTTTGCCCAACTAATGTGTTCTGACAATATTGCGTTTATCAATTCGGTTATTTTTCCGTTTCTCTCTCAGGAGTCCTCAGTTTAAAGGATTAATGACAATTTTGTACCGTTTTTATTACGTGTATGGACCGAGAAGCATTTTTAAATGTTATTTAGAATACATTTTAATGCTGTTCATTTTCATATTAATTACGATTAAAATATTGGATTTATAAGGTTTTTTTTATAATTACCTAAACATTGATGCTTTTGCCAAAACCATCTAATAATCTAAAACTCAACCAGTTAACAAATTCGGTCTATAGGTAAACTAACTGTACGATGGACTTTATGTTTTTATGTTTTATATTGTTTTTTGAAAGTTGAAAAGTCGCAGCAAAAAATGGAAAAACTCGTCTACTATAACGTGACGGGGGAAGATAATTGAGGGTGTAAGGGTATGGTTGCGATATCTCATCGAAAAGGTGTTTATTGGTATCACAAAAGCGTCCCTAAATGCCTAAAATGTAAAAATATATCAGTAAGACGCCTAGACGTAGAATTAACTTATTTCAAATCAGGAATAAATAATAAAATGTATAGTTTTAATGCAATTGAATCCATGCATAAATGTTGCGCTCAATATTAATCATTTTTTCTCTAGGTGGTCGAAATGTCTAGTTTGTTTTGATGATAATTCGCTGTCTTCACTATTCAATTGTTTCTGGTTTTGTTTTGACGACATCATATTTCCAGTGCCCCCACTAGAAAAAACGCAGGGCGTAAGATCGGGAGACCTAAGAGGCCATTGTATCGATCCTCTTATATCAATCTATTTTCCTTGGTAATTGATATCTAATCATTGACGGGCTAGAAAATGTGGCTGTGCTCCATTCTGTGAAATCTTAGTAAATTGTCGTCCAGTTGTAATTCGCCATTCTCGTCTTGTTGATTCTCGGGCTGATCAATTAGCAATAGGTCAATATCATTTTCTAAAAGGTCACGGTAGATTTCATCATTGAAATTACCATCAATAAACGAAGGCTCCATGATGATGGTTTCTCCAAGGATTCCGGCTCAAACATTAAGGTTTTGTCCAAATTGAGTGTTTTCTTCTCTCATAACGCGAAGGTTTTAATTACTGAATGAATTCATATAAAACTGTGAAATAGTAGTTGATTGGTTTAGTAATCAAATCTGGATCATCTTCATTGAATTCCTGTTGAAGATTAATTTTATATGTATGCATTCTGTGTAATTACACTAAACTTACTGTTCTGACAATTGAGATACTTGAAAGTGATGGATTTTTGGGCAAATTGCCAGAAGAACTTCGATTTGAATAAGCTCATCTTAGGTAGATTTCTCTTTGTATTCTCCACAGCACCTTTTTTTCCAAGTTTCTGCATTAACTTCTTATTGTAGGTAGGATGTCGCAGGCGAAATATTCCGAAGCATCTACAAACCGCACAAATGTTTCGATTGAGTATCGAATATGCGAAATTATCGAATATTTCGATCGAATATGTGACTCAAATAAGAGACAGAAAAAACATAAATACCCCATTTTTACATTTTTATTGAGGAATGTGAATATCCTTTGTATGCCTGCATTGAATTTAATCGCTCACAAGGTAGTTTTGGGGTCGGAGTTACTGAAGTTCTTAAAAAATAGTTGGGGTGACTGGGGTGTATTTGCTAGATAGTAGTATACTTTCAGTTATCTTCCCCCATTTTTTATGTAATAATTTTCAACATATTGTCATTTATACTAAAGAAAAACCCACCTTATATATTTTTTAATTCGAGGAGCAAACATTTTGATACTGGGCTGAAGCAAATTATTCTCCATGAAATTCAAGTGCGCTGCTTATTCAATTGGCAACTTCGAACATCGTTATTGCTCCATCAAGTCGATGTATCACTTATTCACTTTCCAATTAATTAACTGGGCCTCGGTTAGGATTAGGAAATTAGCCAAGTTTCGAAATTAGCACCTGAATTGCAAACAGGATTCCATATGTATATAGGATTTTTATAAATAATGCTTTTGTCTTTCATTGCCGCGTAGTTATTGACTTAAAATCGTGTATGCGGGTATTTACACAGTACGTCATTAATTAGCCAATTTCATATTGAGAACCTGTATGAAGATTTTTTTTCATGCTGAGAAGCCGTTTGTTAGGAGCAGTTCCTAAGACTTGTTGATTATTAGTTACAATCCTAAAGCTAGCGCGCCAACCAACCAATGATATTACCAAATCTCGTAGTGCTTTTCACTATTCAAACAGGATCCAAACTTGACGAGTTGCATGACTACTTTCTAATGCCAAAACCAAAGTCTATTATTAAAGCTGACACAATATTAAAATTTATATATGGAGGTCGTAAAATGGATGCTTTCGTAAAGCCGTTTTACTTGCTTAAACCGCTGGAAAATTAACCGTTTTAATGGCATTACCTTGGAGCTTTTTGTATTAGTTAGTACCTACTACATGTTTTAATACTGATTCTAAGTACGGATTTTTAGGCAAATTTTGCTTGTTTCAGTCTCAGCGAATGTTACTTTGCGGGCAAAGGCACTGCGCTGGTACTACCGGATGCAGACGCAACCGCTCAACTTCAGCAACATGTTGCGGTCGGGTCCAATGTTGCGACTGCCGAATCTGGATCGGGGGCGGCACTGCCATGTGGTGCAGTTGGGGGCGGCCAGGCCAGTAGCGCCATTCAGCGACACTTGCAGTCCATGTTTTACCTACTACGACCAGAAGAAACACTTAAAATGGTGAGTCCAGAACTTTTAATGCCAGTGCCCTCCATCGAAACTGGTGATTTTGTATGCAACCAAACCCCTTCTATTTGCGAGTAAATAGGAGTGGTTTGCATGTTCAGACACAGTTGATCTTTTGAGCAAACCACGTCTGAAAATGTCGGCCCATCCTGCTTGCGAAACGTCACAAATCCTGAAAAACTCATCAGGTTCAGGCAATGGCCACAAAATCCTGTTTGTTTTGATGCAACATCCATTGTTGGTCATAAAAATGTATCCAGCTTGAGGTATGGTTGGTTGAAGGTAGGGCATGGTACAATAGCATTGCGTGCGTTCATGTTGGTTAATGAGGTCCATAAATTCGCCACGATGCACTTTATTACGGATTATCCACACCTTTCTCTTGGGATGTGCATAAATCGAACCGTCTATGATCGCAAATGTCAGGGATGCAAGCAGCTGTTGCAACAGCTCGTTCGAACGGCTCGTTTTCCCATAGGTTTTAATGCTCACAATCAGAGTTGCATGCTTAGGTACTCACTGTCTTCAGTATATTCTGTTTTTTTGCCAGGGCTGATTCGTAAAAACCTCTAGTCTAAGTTTGGATTTAATAAAGTGGTCATTTGACGTCAGTTGGTATTTCTGTTTAAATTGAATACTTTTTTTTAGCAGTCTTGAAACTTGAGAGTTTGTTTGCTGCTTTGTATTGTTGGGGCAAAATCTCTATCGTAGCAAGCTTAACTCGCGCCCGGGGCACAATACCTTTCTAGCGCCCCCATTCCCATTTCTAGCGCCCCCAATTCGACCCAGAATTTTTATGGCGCCCCTTTGTGAGTAGCGCCCAGGGCACGATGCCCCCCCTTGCCCAGCTCTCGCTGCGTCTCTGTATCGTATATATGTATTTGTCACTTGTATAAGAGGTTTTACACTCATTCACATTATGTAAATGGCTATTGCTTCATAGGTTTATCGACTGAATAAACTCACTAATCGGCTTGAAGGTGCATAAGTCACATCAATGATAAAATGTTGAAATATCGCACGTGTGAAACGATATCCGTACTAATTGTTTAATCGATAGATGATTTATGATAATTAAGACAATGCTGTCAATCCATTGGATAATTTTCGAATTATWAAAATTTTTGTATGTTTTATATATTATGTACAGRATGTCTCATTTCAACACTTTSAAATATTATCTCCGAATTGCTAGTGTTGGTAKCTTGTGCTTTTTTAGTYCAAACTTTAGTTGATTTAAAGCCTAAAATGGGTATTACTTAAGTGTAAGTTTTTTCAAAGAKTATGCTTTTTCGACAATGACATTGTTGCTTGGAATTCTTTAATACATATTAATATRAAATCTCAGATCCATGTACAATTTATATATTTCCTTAAATAATGCTAAGAGAATTGAATTTTTCAAAATAATTTGTGCTTATTTTATTTGACGGATCTCCACTCTCTTCGGTTAAATTTAAGTCTTTCTTTATCCTTTGTAGAGTAATCTGTTTTGCGCTTATGTTAACTTCTTCGACTTCACCTGCACTGTAATTTTCCGAGTTATTATGAATATCACTTCTCCAAAACTGCTTCATTAGTGTCCTTTTCTACTTTTGTATCTTATAACGTTGTCGTTCTGTTTTCAGATATCTCAGTCAATTTTTCACTTTCAATCGGCTCCGGTCATATTTTTTACTAACCATTAATGCTGTCAGTTTTATTTCTGGGATGTGCCAGTTAATTAAGTTAATGCAGTGCAAAATTGAGAAGACTTTCCACACCTCTTTGACGTCAACGGATTTATTTAAAATGCATTGTAATGATAGCCATATGTGATTGGTTTTAAATATCGCAAGAATTACTTGCAAAATCTGGATTAGTAGCGTTTTATTCTTTCCTTTAAGCAGTCGCAAGTCTTCAATCGCATTGCGTTTAGTAATTTTGGTTAGTCAATAATGATCGTCCTCATTTGAAATGCTTCTCAGTGACGGAATCTTAACAGTCAGCAGCAAAGGAATAACATTTTCTGTTCATGGTTTTTTATTGTAGCTTCATTTTAATCGAATAATTTCGATTTGTTTTATGATGTATGCTGTATTTTCGTCTTTTTGTGCCGGTTCTAGAATTCAAATTTTGCTTTCATAGCGATGAAACGCCTTTTAGAAGATGTTTTTAAATTTTCGTTCGACATAGCTTAGCGCGCTACAATTGGTTAATAAGAATAAAAATCTAACTATTATTATTTCTTTAAAAAACTACTTACGGAAAATATTTAATCTTGGAGGCAAAAATAGACACAGCTAAAAGGTTGCTATTAATAAGCTAAAGCTAAAGCTATTAATAGTTAAGTAACCAACATTCTGCAGAAAAATCTGAAAAATCACTTAAAACATGCTTTACGAGTTAGGGAAATTCCTAATTGGCTAAACAGTGGTTTTGCCAAGCTCTTGAGCCGTGTTATGGTACATAATTTTCTTGAGTACATACATGGTGAAAAGTGAATAATTGCATTGTGCCTCATAAATATTTTATTTTCATATCTTTGAAAAGTTTAGAAACAGTTAACGTCGCTCATTTTGAAAATTTGAGCCAAATTTTTGAGAGTTATTTTGGATCATTAAACATATATTGATCAATTGTTTTTAACTGACGAGTTATTTTTAAAGATATTTTATTTATGTATGCGGTTAATCGGTATTCCTATCTACTGGACTTTTTTCCTGGCATTCTACGGTCAGGACTGACCTTTTCTGGAATGAAAGCTGGAACTAAACAATAGTTGTTCTTGGTAATAAACCATTGTATTATCTTTTGTTTTTAAGGTCTCTATGCAATTTACATTTCACTAATTATGGTTAAAACATACTGATGAGTTATGATGCCTTATAACTTTTTATAAAGTTTTAAAACTTACAATAAAATTAGTGTTATAAAAAGTTTATAACAATAGCATGTAAAGTTTTCTTGCTAAAATCTGTTATTTTAAAAATAAAATATACAGGGTGTCCCTTAAGCACATGATCAAAAGGATACTGCGATATTCTTGTGTTAAGTGGCAAGAAAACAGACATATTTTTTGCGCAAAAACTATGAATGCTACAAGATTTTACAAAGAGCACAAAATTGTGAATAAATGATTAATGCATCAGCCAAAAAAAAACGAGTTGATTCCATCCGCCAAATAAAAAGTTCTGGTAGTTTTTGTACGACACTCAAGAATTCACCACTTGTCCAAAACGGCTGAATTCGATTGTTTCATCAGAATATGAGTCTTACATAAGAACAAATTCACAGCGAGTTTCACCAAAATACCTATATCGTACCATTCTCTCGAAATTTCCAAAACAGATAATTTTTTTGAAGAACTTACCTCAATAGCAGAGACCAGACATTTTTTGTTTATAAAAGTTAGGTCAGATCGCCTTCTTTTGATCCAAATAATATCGCAGTACCGTTTTGATCATGTGCGTACAGGCCACAATGTATTATAATTTTGATGTGGTATTTTTTACTTGATATTGAGTTCAACCAAGCAGCGGTTAAGAGTACAAAGATTTGTTTTTGAGACTAGCGGTTTCATACTATTTATTTTATGATTGTCTGGCGCTTTGAATTTGAAAAACACATCCGGTACTTGAGTTATTTGAATGAACAACCAACCTTTTATTAATAATAATATTTTTTTCTCGTCTGGGTGTTAGTTAGTTACCGCAGTACTGATCTTTCCACAAGACAGCTCGACGAAAGTACATATATTTTAATGCAAATAAATTTTTATTAATACCGACCGAACAAAATAGTTTATTTTTTCAATTAAATTTAATATATAATTAGGAGTATCTTAAAACGTTAAAAACGCACTAAATACCAAAGTACACAAACTGTTCATTTTGTGAAAACGGTTAGTGATTTTTGTTCACGTTTGCCTATGAAAATAGTAAAAAAGTATAAAAAATGGTTGTCATTAGCATCGTCATAACGTTAAAAAAATAGCGTGTAGCACTTAACAAAATCTAGCCGTTATTCCCATCTTTTGCCTAGCACTGAGAATGCTAGAAGTCTAAAAAATATATCAAAAACCGCAAAAAATATGTGCGAAATAGTTACCCTACTCGGCTCAAAAAATCGGCGAATTATTTCCAAAAGTAACCGAGTTCGAAAGTGGCGCAGCAATTTGAAATCACTCGAAATTCGTGTTGTAGGCAGCTCAGAGATGCAGAACACAGTATCTCTCTTATCTTCTGCATTAAGATTGTAGACATTGGAATGAGTAAAGGCGTTTGTCGTGTCAGGTGTTCTGCGGCGACAAAATCCTTCTCTATTCCTCGGAATATGACCGAGAGAATGCGTTCGGGCACCAAGTGCATATTATCTATTACCCAGATTGAATCTACGAGCCTCGGTAATGTTGAAATGTAAAGAAAATGGAAAGTAATTTGCAATTACGTCTGATCGTGGTACGCACCCAAAGCGTGCAGAATAAATCGATTTAGCCTTGTTCGTCCAGAAGGAAAAAATCAGCGTCGTTTGCCGATTAAATATGATTTTTCTCAATCTACTTTGAATGTTTCTTTGGTATCTTATAAGCAATCAAATTAAATTGTCCCCGAAATAAAATAAATGAAGTGCTGTAATAGCAGCTTACTTACATAACGTGGTAGCGATTATTCATTTGGTATGAAATGCATGAAAGCAGCCATAATAAAATCTTGAACAATTCAACCAACTGCTTTTATTGGCAGTAAACTTTATATTAATAATACTGCACATGTATGTATTCATCGTAAATTATGGGCTCTAACGACATTCATGGTTATGGTCGTTTTATTGCAGCTTTCAAGTGAAAATTGTACTTTCAATAATTAATAGGCATATGTTTTTTCTGGCCGTCACCAAATTGATATTTTAATCGCATACAGGTGTATACTTTTTGCAGCTTGCCAATTATTCATATCACTCAGTTACCTAACAACTCGATAAATGTATTAATAATATTAAATTAAGTTAATCCT